TAGATTATTACGTAAAAAAAAAAAAAAATGAAGGAAAAAAAGAAAGAAAGAAAAAATTTCAAGGGAGATAACCGTAACAGAACAAAATGCAGTTTCATTTGCTTTGCAATGATTTGTTCCGACCATTTTTATACAATATATGAATCTTAAATACAGTCCAATTTCAAGAGACTTATTTATTCTCAATTGTGAAATATAATTTCTCAGGTGCAAATATCGCGGTTTTTTGATAGAAAATTATAAAAGAAAGGTAAAAATACTGTTTCATAGTTCATTAGCATGATATTGCTATTACTGTATACACTTTTTAGTCCTTCAGCAATATTTATTGTAATAAATAATAAATAATAATTATTTCAGCAATATTTAAAAAGTAAAACAGGTAATATCTTTTGTTTATTCAAATTTTCTTGGTTTATAGTTAATTGTTACTTTTATAAAATTACGAATAAAAAATTGTTTTCATATTTATTAAGTGATGAATAATAAATGTTTATAAAAGGTAAATAATAAATTGCATTGGGTGAGCTGAGTTAAAGGGAGATAACTTAAACATCCGGAAGAGGTATGGAACGTGGAACTAGAACAATCTGGCCCGGTGGATGAAATAAAGGGTTAAGTTCAAAATTCTAATCACCTGTAAAAGACCAGAGCGTACACGGCCGGAACGTCGTGAATATGACAATAAAGATTATTACAACAGTCCGAACGATATAAATAATATAACTAAATTGCATTTGGTTCACACATGTGTTATGATCTTGCCAATACACATCGTCGGGAGAGGCAAAAGTGTATACAATAATACAGGTGTCAAAGGAATAACTCTCTATTTGAACAACGTTTTTTTGTTAAATATTTTCAAAATTTTTATGTCAGGCCACTTTGCCAATGCTACTGGCACCATGTAACCCAGTAAAATCTGCCGCAAAGTCCGGTCAGCGGTGACTAAAAAAGATCCCCCACCACTTGGCTTCTTTAGCAAGGAAGATGGCCACAAACCGAACAGGATTAAAAACAAAACCTATCAACGGGCGGATGAACCTTCCTGTAGAGTCAACAGCCATCTAGCGCAAAAGAATAGACTAGACTCACTAACTATGTATAAAGCCAGTGCAGTAATGGTACGGTATCCATTGGAGGAGCGCTTCCTCGGCTGAAGTTAACGGTCGCGGCACAGGGATCCCCGATTGAATCAATGGCTAAATATTTAAGAAAGAACATTTATTGATCTTTAACTAAAACTGTATAAATGAAAATTTCTGGTCGCACCCCCACACAGACACACACACACACACGCCCCCCCATATATATATATATATGCATACATACATACAAATATAGATAAATATACACCCTCGAATTTTTGATTTGCCAATAATCAAATCAATCTCGAGGGGAAAAAAGGTTTTAAAAAAAGGAAGAGCTACAAACATGGAAGTCTGTCGAAAAAAATCGCACAGATGCAGGTCTGAAGCCCAAAGAAAAAACCCTGATACGAGTAAACAAGTAACTAACAAAAGCGCTCAATACAACCGTAGAGCAGACCTAGATACACCTAGTGAGCCAGACTTTCCCTGCTGATCCGTTTAGGTGAAACCTAGGTAGGTTTGTCTGGCTCACTAGGCGTATCTATATACATACATACATAGATGTATATATATATATATATATATATATATATATATATATATATATATATATATATATATATATATGTATTCATATATATATATATGTATATATATATATATATATATATATATATATATATATATATATATATATATATATATATATATTCGTATATTTCAGCAGCAGGTTTTCATTGAGACATGTTCTGTCTACTTATTTTCGATAGGACCCTTTCATATTCACGGATAAAATCTTTGTTGTCATTACTGAAGAACGAGAGAAAATCACGTGTTGATGCATATTTTGTTTGTTTCTGAGTACTTTCGACAGAGCACAATGTCATCATCAGGGCATTGTTTATTACAGGATAAATATTATCGTATTCGTTATTGGGAAAAATAAATTGTTGTGATCATCAGAAGATTAAATTTCTTACAAGAGCAAGCGAACTAAAATATAAAACAAACCCTCATCAATAATAACTTCTCTAACTACATTATTGATGAACAAATAAGATGCTCCAGAGATCTTTATACTAAACAAATAGTATATTATGCTCCTTCAACTAGCCTCAAACTTATCAACCTTTTATATCGTAACTAAATATATGCTAACTATAAGCAAGACGAAACTATCCTTAAAACTTAATAAAATGTAATTCATCCACCTCTGATCCTAGTAAAAATAAAATAAATTGTATGCTACACTAAATCTACTATATACAATATAATCATTCGTAATGATTATTCCCCGCCCACTAACGGTTTGCAGAAAACCAACATTGTTTATAAGTTTAAATGTCATCCGGGAGATTGTATCGCCAACGTTAAAAATAATATTCATGTTGGACACACTACAACAACGCTGTCACGGCGGCTGAGTTTTTATTTGAATAATACGTCCATCATCTCTAAACACTTAGAAAAACATACCTGTCCTCATTCTGGAATTCCAAAAATTTCGCTTGAGGATGAAACAGAGCTTGATACTTTAATTCGATTTAATTTTAATAATTATATTGAAGTTTTTGTGGCTCCTGTTTTTGAAACATGAGAACTCTTATGTAGCGAAGGAATCATATTTTTAAAAAATAATTATAATGTAGGCTCTACTTTTGTATTGAGCACCGTTTTTTAAAAATAAAAACAAAAATACTAAAGAACTTTGGATTATTTACCTATTTTTCTACATATTTGCACACACACACACACACACACACCACACACACACATATATATATATATATATATATATATATATATATATATATATATATATATATATATATATATGGCTTGAGCAATTCTTCGGTACTCGGGCTCTTTACAGCAACATAATATTCGTTGTCTTTCTTTCAGAGATACCTTCTCTTGTGGAAGATGAAGCCCTGCTTTAAATGAGTGAACAAGCACTCTTATATTACCGGCAGAACTTGGTCCTTTACAAAGCACCATTAGCTCGATCCTGTGACCAGAAGCAGTCGAGATGTTCCTCATAAACTAACTAATGACAACACTCAACGACCCGTGAACATTTGCCAGCAAATCCTCAAGATGCCCATATTTGGCGTTGAATTTTAACTAGGCGTGAAAAGTGGATTTAGTTTCCTAATCCTAATAAGAGAAATCAGTGACTTTGTTCCAACCAAGCTTCAGAGTCTCTGTCAAACAAGGGTGGTTTGAACAAAAGATCATTTTGTGTGTTTGGTGGAATTTCGAAAGGAGGCAGAGTTGTACTCTGGAGCCTGTCCCAGATGGTCATGCTGTGAATGCTGACCTTTGTGCTCAACAACTGCAGCGCATATACGCTGCCTTGAAAGGTCTCTACATGGCATTAATCAATCGAGGACGCGCACACTGCCATGGCAATGCTCCAGCATGCACTGCCAATGCTCACGAGCGCAAATTCGTGTAACTTGAGGGACTAGAAGTGCTGCCTCAACCTGCCTACAGTTCAGATTTGCATGATCAGATTACCACCTTTTCCGTGTCATGGCTCATTTCCTGTGCAGGCGGAAGTTCAACAATTTGAGTGAGGTTGAGAACGGGTGCAGGGATATATTTTGCCTCTAAATCAGTCAAATTCTACAAGCGTTGAATTGTGTTTCTGGCATAACAATGGCAGCAGACAATAAAATAGGATAGGATATATTTTGATGAATAAACTCTTTTCCTATCTAATTTATTTGATCCATTAATTGAATCTTAAAATACGAAAAAAAACTTTTGAATCAACCTAGTATAAGATGAGTGCACCACACCATTCCCCCTTTTCCGTTGCCGCATCAAGCTAACCAGTAGAAATATATGTTTATAATCGTTCACTAATTATTAGCATCGAATCCGACTTATTTCGCAGTTTTATCTTAAGTAATCAACAAGTCGGATTTTTTTAAAGTAATTTCACCTCAAGCAAGGAGATAATTCCAGTGAATTACAGAGAGTGAAAATGAAAGTGAAAGTGAAAGTGAAAAAGAATGAGGAGACTAAGTATTGCGGAAAGGACTAAAAAGAAGAAAACAGAAGATAGCGATTTACGTTGCATTTAAATTTTTTAACATTCTAGTTATGAAAGCAAGAAATCGGAAAGGATTTCCATAGGTGTGAAGTGCGAGAAAAGAAAGTTTTAGAGTAGAGGTGGCGGTTGGATCTATCTTGTTTAAACAATAAAACAGTGAGGCCTTTTTTGCCAATCTAGTATCACGCGTAAATTCATGTATTTTGGCCACCAGGGAAAAAAAATGTTCGTCACAACAGTTGGCATGGAAATATTTGTAGAAAAGACAGAGGGAATACGTGTCCCGTAAATGAGAAAGTGACTGAAGTTGAAATGTCTGGTCATAACCGATTGCACTTTCAGGCGCTTCGTCAAGAGTCGCAATATATACAGCAGGAGCATCAGACCAGATATGACAACAGTATTTAATGGACGGACAAATCGTAGATTTTATAACTGCGCAAAATGAATTCTGACGTGAAAGTTTTAGCCTTGACTAAATCAGTAAATAATAATCCCCCTCAATTGAGGGGTATTATTATTCATTAATAATCAAGAAACTTCATCAGGCGTAAGTGACAGCATACTGTGGAAAGTCCTATAGGGACAAAGCACAAAAATAGGATTAATATTAAGCTATAGAAACAATTATTATTACTTAAGTTAGCTTAGTTTGGTATAAAGCCACAATTTTCGTGCACACAGTAAGGTTCGAACTCACTAATCCATAGTAATAAAGAATCAAACTAATTGATTAAACATTACAAAACATCGAAGCACCCCAACTGAAGGGAGTTAGAGTATTGTTCAGGCGGTTCATTACATTGTACAAAATATCTGCCCGATATTTAATAATCGGCTTTTGTCGATCAAATGTTTATTAGAAACACTAGAAGGTCCAATTTAGAATGCGTTGAGTTGTTTTCTTTCTCTAGGTAACCAGCACCGAAACACAATTCAAAGAAAAAGAGTGTCTTGCAAGATGGGTTCTTCGAAGAATAGGGCGCATGATGAACAGCCAAAACTAATGTGATGTCAATACAGGTGCCCACAGAGAACATAAAGTAAAAGAAGAAGAGAGACGTAGACGGAAAAGTAATTTTCTTATAGATGCCCTTGAGAATAAGGATCGAAATGACTGAGAAAGAGAGAGAGAGAGAGAGAGGAAGTGGGACGGGGGAGAGAGACAGACACAAAAGTAATATGAAGTAATATAAAGACAAAGAATAAAACTGGATGAGATAGATAGATAGATAGATAGATAGATAGATAGATAGATTGATATGAGGCGAATTATAAAAACAGTTACAAAGAGATTGCGATTTCAGATTAAAAGAACAAAGTAGATAGATAGATAGATAGATAGATAGATAGATAGATAGATAGATAGATGAAACAGAATGGGTCGAGATAGCTAGATAGATAGATAGATAAGAAAGAATGGGTCGAGATAGATAGATAGATAGATAGATGAGAAAGAATGGGTCGAGATAGATAGATAGATAGATAGATAGATAGATAGATAGATAGATGAGAAAGAATGGGTCGAGATAGATAGATAGATAGATAGATAGATAGATAGATAGATAGATAATGATGAGGTTGACAGATAGATATGAAGTATGAAGAGGCTCACCTGATAGATACAGTCAACGACGAAATTATTCGTACACCCATCAATTTTGAATATTTTTATTCATTTCTCAGAATCTAATGCCCGTATGATGCCAGGTTCTTAATGTTAATAAGCGCATAAAAAAGAATATAAAACTCAATTTTCAGAACAATAGTTTTAATACAACAAATTTGACAGGCAAATTATGCAAAATAGGAAATGACAAAATTATTCGTACAGTAGGAAAAATAGAAAAATTGAACAATATTCACAATATCAATCGTCAATAGGATGACCTTTCATCCTTATCCTTGGTATAATCGTTTTCTAAAAATTTTGATGAGATTTGAATAAGTCTTTTATGGAATTTTCTTCCATTCTTAATGGTTACACGTTCTAATTCCTGAAGGTTTATTTGTGCACCGACATTTTATTCGAACTTTTAATTCTTCCCATAGATTTTCAGTAGGATTGGATTCAAGACACGACTCAAAAAAGGCCATGGCGGAACTGTAATTTTCTTTTTCTGAAGCCACCCAGTCACTGATTTAGACGTATGTTTGGGATCATTATCTTGGTGAAAATAAATCGCTAACTGCTGTGGTACGATCCACCTAATTTACATAGTGGAGTACCGACCATATAAATATGGGTTGGTACCAGGAAGACGGGGAGAGGAATCCAGAGATCCAATCCAGAGACTCTGCCCGACTGCGACTAAGTCAACCCATTCTACAGGAACGGTCTTCCCAAGAATATACCAAAACTATCTGTAAATCTTGTTTCAATACATTTTGTTTAAGTACATTTTGTGTTGTATTATTATTATTCCATGCTTTATTCAAGTTTCAACACTGACTTAGATGAAGATTTTGCGCTGATAGTTGTAGATTTTCATCCAGAATTTTGATAGAGTTTGCAAATGTCATTATTCCTTTTATTGCAATTAATTGTCCAGTCCCCCTTGAGCTAAAACAACCCCAAATCATTATCGAACCGCCTCCATGTTTTAATGTTGCCACTGTGCCTCACTGTACCTCATCTTTTTTTAGCTAAATCTTCTGTTGTGGATTCCGGGTTGAAACCCGGTACCAATAAATAACAAACTCCAGGAATGAATATATGAAAATAATGTATTAACGTAATAATACAAACTGATAAAGCAGGTTAGTAGTTCCAGGAATACGAGTTAGTAGCAAAATATATATATACAGTCTTTGGTATTGAAGTATCGCTGTATGACTTCTTACTGAGTCTACGTGCTCGCTCACTGTGACTCCTACAAAGTTGTTACCTCACCCCTCACTCTTCCGGTTACCTACAACCTTTTACTCTGTCACTCTGGACTCGACTCGACTCTTCGGTCTTGCTCCCTCTTACTCTCGTCTCGTTCTTGCAGTAGTATAAGTATACACTGGGTGAGTTCATTTGTATAAAAAGGGGTGGACCCCTCAACATCTTCTGTACAACATTATGTCCAAAAAAGCTCAATTTTTGTTTCATCACTCCATAGTACTTGTTCCCAAAAACAATTTTCATTGTCTTAGAACGTTTTGGCAAAATTAAAATGAGCAACAATGTGACATGGTTTGGGAAGAAGGGTTCGTCGTAGTCGATTTTCATAAAACCCATTTCTATTTAAACAATATTGTATTGTGCGAGTTCTTACGCTCATACCCATCGTATCCAAACTTTTCTTCTTTTTTTCCCAAATTCTTGTTTTTATATCAACCTCGACAGAGTTTTCTTGCAGTTCTCGGTGACAATTTTGACAGTTTTCTTCCACGTCCAGGCAAATTCTCTGTCGTGCCAAACTATTTAAACTCCATTATAACGGACTGTACTGTAGATCTAAGAATAGCTAATCGGTTTGAAATAGCGCTGTAACTATTTCCCGACTTGTGAAAGTTAATAATTCTCTGTCTCAAGTCAATGCTAAGCTCCTTTGCCTTCCCCATCGTGGTGTTAACGTCAAAATAACAATGGTGACACTCTATGCACCACGTGATGTTCTTTGCTGGAATTATCACAAATATTCTCCTGTATAAATAGCCTAGAAGGCTTCACCGATGAAATACTTATGTAAATTCCTTATATTTGCACAGATCAATCAGTTCAAAAGCGATATTTTCTACTCTACAAATAATTTTGCCTTTTCCTATTTTGCATAATTCGCCTGTCAAATTTGTTGCATTTAATGCATTGTTCTGAAAATCGAGTTTTAAATTTCTTTGTGTTTATTAACATATAAAAACTTGGCATCATACTGGTGTTATATTCTGAGAAATGAATAAAAATATTCAAAATTGATGTGTGCACAAATAATTACGTCGCTGACGATAGATAGATAGATAGATAGATAGATAGATAGAAGGAAACATAGATAGATAGAGAGATAGATAGATAGATAGGGAAGGAGGGAGAAACGAACAGACGGAGATAGCTATACAGGTGAGATATATGTGCAGTATAAAGTAATATGAAAGATAGATAGATAGATAGATAGATAGATAGATAGATAGATAGATAATAGATAATGAACACAGGTGATATATATATATATATATATATATATATATATATATATATATATATAACTGTGGATTGCTGATACCCCTTAAAGAGTGGATGAACAGGTTCGCCTACGAAACTCTAGTCAGGGTGCTGAAGTTAACATCAATCTACAAAGTGACTATATATATATATATATATATATATATATATATATATATATAGAGAGAGAGAGAGAGAGAGAGAGAGAAGAGAAAAGAAAGAGAGCTGGACAACACAGGCAAAATAATGAGAAATAATACGAAGATAGACAAAAAAATAGTAAGAAATAGATAGATAGATAGATAGATAGATAGATAGATAGATAGATAGAAAAAGATGTTAGACGGATAGAATTAAAATGAAGATTGATACGAAAGACAATAGGATACAGATTAAAAGAGAGAAAGAAAAAGAGAAAATGTATTTGTTTATATGAGAGAGAGAGAGTAGGATATAAAAAGAAAGCAAGAGAGAGAGAGAGAAAAGAGAGGGGGTTGGGAGAGAGAGAGGTTGAGTAAAATAGAAAGAGCTGATATGATGCCATGTCGAGAGGTCGTTCTTCGCCTACACAAAAAGAGACGAATGCTAATGAGAGACCTACACACTCGGCTCATGTTTCCCGCTAGGGGGAAAACAATCCAAATATTACAGACTGTTTCATCTTGTCATATTTGTCTTCCACACAGCGCGTCAGTCAATTTCCATTATTAAATGCATAGGTCCGAATGCTGCCCAGAGGTTGCACTGCTGACGGCCGAACCCGAAAATTGAAGGTCATGTTTATTCCGCTGCCTGAATTCCAGACTCACGATATTGATGAACAATGAAGTTGTTTAGGCGCCGGGTTTTCTGTTCAATGTTTCTGACACAAACATATGTACCTCGTTATTTTCAATACGGGGATCAGGCTCAGTAGCAAGATGTATGGACGTTATGATGTGTAGCACAAAATGATACAACGAGTTCTCGTTATTACTTACATTTTTTTAATCTATGTCAGCCTTATCATATATGTCTGTCCCAGTGTATTGCTATCTATCTATCCTAGTCTGTTGATATCTATCTATCTATCTATCTATCTATCTATCTATCTATCTATCTATCTATCTATCTATGTCAGCCTTATTATATATATCTGTCCCAGTCTATTGATATCTATCTATCCTAGTCTGTTGATATCTATCTATCTCAGTCTATTGCTATCTATCTATCTATCTATGTCATCCTCTATCATATCTATCTATCCCAGTCTATTGCTAGTCTATCTATATCTATCTATCCTAGTCTATCTATCTATCTATCTATCTATCTATCTATCTATCTATCTATCTATCTATCTAAGTCACTGTTAATATTTAATCCTCTTTATACACACAGGCAAACGCACTCCTATATATGCCTGTCCATATCACAGGCACTTCATGTCTATCTATCTATCTATCTATCTATCTATCTATCTATCTATCTATCTTAGTCTGATAATATCTATCTATCTATCTATCTATCTATCTATCTATCTATCTATCTATCTATCTATCTAAGTCACTGTTAATATTTAATCCTCTTTATACACACAGGCAGACGCACTCCTATATATGCCTGTCCATATCACAGGCACTTCATGCCTATCTATCTATCTATCTATCTATCTATCTATCTATCTATCTATCTCTGTCTGATTCTATCTATCTATCTATCTATCTATCTATCTAAGTCATCTTATCTTTAATCTATCTATCTATCTATCTATCTCAGTCTGATTATATCTATCTATCCCAGTCTGTTTATCTCTATCACAATCTGCTTATATCTATCATGGGTGGTTAATCGCCTTGTTTTTGTGACATTGATGGAGCGTCGAGATCTGTATTGATAGTATCGTATACCCCAGTTAGTTAATATTAAATATCTAAAGACACGTTCAGGCCTCTTCAAAATGAGCTGTCTGTGTTTCTATGTCCTGTAATCGCTTCGTCGAATTATCTATTTATTTTTCATTCTGTCTCCTTCTCGGCCATTTTGTCTATCTTTCTCTTCTTTCTTGGAATATAGAATTAAGATAGTTATATACCCATTTAATCCCTGACAAAAATAGATACGTCGATGTTCGAGATTATAGATAGATAAATGTTATTTAAAAAAATAGATAGATTCGAACCTTTAAAATGTAAATTTCGTGTTGAGAAACGTTCACCACAATTAGATGATAATTTGTCTGCTCTTCTATTAGCCAATATGTTCGCCCACTTTTTACAACAGAAATAAATTTGCCGCTGAGAATAGCATGGACTCATCATCTCGCCATCTCAATGTCTCTCTCTTACCGAATAAATATATATGATATAATGTATAAATATATAAGTATAGATCCCAGACAATTTTTCTATCTATCGATATATGACAAATGACCCTTGACTTCTATCTTGGTCTGTTTCTATCATCCATCGATCTATTGTTCTTATCTAACAGCTATCTTAGTGAAGGTTTTCTCTTCCATTGTTTATCTCTATCACGAATTGCTTATATCTACGATGGTTCAACCCCGTTTTTTGTGACATTGATGGAGCGTTAAAGGTCTGAACTGGTAGAATGAAAGAATGGACCTCATCTGAACATTTGCCATGGAAATAGCGATAAGCTTGAGACATTGCGTAAAATGCTTGTAAAATCCTTAATACTTAATTATAATGGATCACATCCTGTTTTTATCAATCTGTATGTCCCGTCTGATCGTATCGAACTTTGTCCATCCATACACATCTACGACAGTCTATTCATATCTGCGGATATATTGATCTCTGTCTATTTATAACTATTCGATATGAAGAAATACGGTACCACTTCACATAATCCATGGGCGCACGGATGTATCATAATTCATTTCGCCCTATCTATTATCTATCTATCTATCCTATCTATCTATCTGTCTGTTTGATTATTAAAGCTATCTATCTAAAAGCTATCTATCTATCTATCGATCTATCTGATCCTTGACTTGAAGATTTGTGTTCACCTGTCTCCATTATCTATCTTTTCTATCTATCTTATCTATCTATCTATCTTTCTA